TATAAAGTGGAGCCACTTCTTACTTATTTTAATTAGAAAGGCGTGGAAGCCACTTCTTACCTAGGAAAATGTTATTAGCAATTCCACCATTTATTTTATCATATAGTCTAATTAATGAAAACTATATGATCAAAATGATTATTGAAGTGTGAATAACAAAATGGAGTGTAAATAATCTTACTTATTTAAATTAGAAAGAAAGCATGAAAGGATGTTATATTTGTTATCTCTTGTTATGGTATTATGGAAGTTTTAATTGGAGTAGAATCATTAATAACGCAAGGTAATTGAAAATGTGATTGGTTGAAGTTCCAATATGATATCATGCACGTTAACCAACAGTTTGAAATGAAATGATTTTAAAAAGTAACCAACAATTTCAAATATGAAGAGTAGATGTGGAAGTTAAGGGAAATATATTTTATAATGCTAGAAAAATTGAATGGGTAGTGGGAAGATATGTGGAGGCTTGTTGCTAAAAATCCCTTCTCAAATTTATATAGATATAGGTAATATTTCTAATAATCTCCTATCCAACAAAAAGAGTGTGTGTGGATTGTAAATTATCTGAGATAATTTTATGAAAAAATACTGTAACATTTTTTTGATATGATGTATATGAGATAAAAAAGTGATTGAAAAATGTGTTAATGGTGCTAACAAATCAGTGTGTGTAAATAAGATTCAAATAGAGTGTAATAATTTATGATCAAAACACACTCGATTTGAACTCCCTCGCCTCAATTTCTGATTTCATTTTTCGTATTCTCTCTATATTTCCTTCTTTGTTGGGAGGGATGGATGAAAGGTTGAAAAATTATTGATTGTATTGATTGGAGGAAGGATAGAAAAATTTATTATTTATCAGTTCATTTGACCAATTACGAAGCAATTTTGTAACTTCGAGCTATTCACACAAAATCACGCAAGACTGGAGTGGCCTACAACTACTCAATTTAGCTTTTACATGATTCAATTACATTTTCAAATAAATGGGAGGCTGAAATGCTTAGGTTGGGTTTGGATTGTAATTTTTTGAAATTTTTGTAGAAAGTGTATTGTAATGATTTAATACATGTGACGTAAAAAAATATGTTCATGAAAAGTGAATGAATTATTTTTAATCAAAAAATCCCTTTCCAAACAAAGCCTTAGAATCCGAATTAACAACTCATTTGGAGATCCGAAAAGTAAAATCGAAGCAAAGCAAAAGCTCCCCATATACCTTCCCTCCCCCACTCTCCTCCCCGCCCCCAAGACCCCCGAGGGAAAGGGCCCCCCGGGAAAGGGCAAAAAAGGGAAAAGACAAAAACAAATAAATTGGTCGGAAGAAGAGCCAACACTATACTACTAATAATTAAAAAAATAAAATCAAGCAGTTGTAGGTTGTAACCAGTAACCTCTGTGTGAGAGGCTAATTTTTGGGGTGGGGCTTTGTTTTACTCACACACAGAAGCCGATGGCCCTAGCAAGCCAATCAGCACTCAGCAGTAATTGTGATATGCGAAAGGGTATTCTCGTAATTAAACGAGCCCAAATAGCCGAAAAGCGTAAACCAGTGGGCTCCACGTCCTACGTTTCTTCAATCAATCCCATCCGCCTCTCTCCCACTAGTCCACGTCGGCCACCTCCTCTTCCCCATGCCTCCACCCAAACCCCACCACCCCGCCAGACCAAAAAAAAAAACAAAAAACGCAGCAAGTCTCCTCATCTGTTGTTACACGCAGAGACATCGCTTTCTGTGCTGCTTCTATTGCCACTTGTACAAAGCCCTAACTTCACCAGCCTATCACCATCATAACCCCCAGAAATTAATAAACGAATAGTAAAAAAATTTTAAAAAGTAAGGTGGGGAAAAAAATCGCCGCGATCTGGAGCCGTCAGATCCTACATGTCCCCTCGCTTCTCTCTACTATCGTCGCCGTCCACCACCACCACTACCCCGGCGGCCGACGGCGTTCTCAATAGACAGATCTTGATCCGTTCTGTCTGGTCCAGCAACTTAGAGTCCGAATTTTCTTTGATCCGCCACGCCATCGACCGTTACCCGTATGTCTCCATGGACACCGAGTTTCCCGGCGTTGTCTTCCGCCAAGATTTCCGCCACGGCAGCCCTACCGATCACTACAAAACTCTCAAGTCCAACGTCGACGCCCTCAAGCTCATCCAGGTCGGCATCACTCTCTCCGACTCTCATGGAAACTTCCCCGACCTCGGCTCCCCAGATAACTACTACATCTGGGAGTTTAACTTCTCCGACTTCGACGTCACCCGCGACGAGCACGCTCCCGGTTCTATCGATCTCTTGCGTCACCAGGGCATCAATTTCGAGAAGACTCGTATGTACGGAGTCGAAGCTTCCCGTTTCGCTGAGCTCATGATGTCCTCCGGACTCGTCTGCAACGACGACGTCTCCTACGTCACTTTTCACAGTGCCTACGATTTCGGCTACTTGATCAAGGCCTTGACGGGTCGCGTTCTGCCGGCGGAATTGGGGGAGTTTATGGAATTACTGAGGGTGTTCTTTGGGAAGAGGGTTTATGATGTGAAGCACTTGATGAAGTTCTGTAAGAGCCTCCATGGCGGGCTGGACCGAGTGGCGAGCACCCTTGAGGTGTCCAGGGCCGCTGGCAAGTGTCATCAGGCAGGTTCTGATAGCCTGCTTACGTGGCACGCATTTCAAAGAATCAGGGAGGTCTACTTCAACGGGGATGAGGGGCTGCCGGAAAAGTACGCTGGTGTTCTTTATGGGTTAGAGGTCATCTCTGCTTGAATATTTCTTTTATATTCTCTCTTAGGCAATGGTACCTCATGTTGATGTAGACTGCTCTTCGAATTTCTTCTTGTCAAGTTGTACAATCCTTTGGCATAATATCAGTAGTAATTTGAGTTCATTTGTTTCCTTTAGCCTGATTAATTTACCATGGATCTGCATGTGTGTGTGTGTGAGAGAGAGACAGAGTTTGCACACAGCTCCGACAGGTTCACTTGTTTTTACGTTTAGTTATTCAAGTTAACAGGTTTATGGGCATAAACATGATACTACTACACTTCCTACCTTTTTTTTTTTATTGTTCTTGAACGTCAAGTTGTCGATTGGCTGTCGTGCACTTCTCTTCATTATAAGGTTTACAGTGGATCGGGTTAGATGAATGTGACATGCTTCCTAAAGTAAATTTACCAAGGTTGAGGGTACGATATACTTCCTGTGTGGTAATACCAGAGTTAGAGGTTAGACCAAGTATTCTGGTCATAGTACATCATTCTGTTGGTACAAGTCTTTTTTAAGCTTACTGGTACTTTTCCAAACAATGCAGGAGTTTGACGTAACCGTCTGATTAGAACTTCCAAATTAATGCTTTAACCGTGAGAGTGGCTTTAGGTAGTAAAGGTTAGATTTTCAGTCTGACTTGTTAGGTCGTGTCCTTTGCTAATTGTGAATTACCTTTTTGCTTTTTCTTCTTCTTCTTCTTCTTCTTTTTTCAGTAAATCATTTCATAAGCAATTTGCAATTGGTTTTAGAGGTTATGAATTTTAAATCTCTGGATTATTTGTGCAAACTTCTCTTCTATCAGGATTAGATGGAGCTTAATTTTGCTAATTTAGGATTATCATGTAGATTTGGTAAAGTTGGATTATTAGCACATGGAGTATTTATTAGAAAGCCTTTCCTTAGACCTTGACCAAATTTACGGCAATCATAACTGTGATCCAAAACCAACACGTCTGCACACTAATTTGCAGATGAATTTTCTCATATTTCTATTTTTTTTAAAGATTTCTTCACAAGATAGTCATTTTGGGTCAAAGAAAGAGAAAAAGTTAGATTATTTTTCGAGCTAGCGTTTTTCCTTTACCTTCTGGATGCTTTTGGGTTAATCTTGTATGTATTACCAGGACGAAAAGATCTTTTGTTGCTTTCTCAAACCTTGCATCACTTGGTATTTTTGAGTGCAAGCCACTGAGTTACTGATTGAGCCAACTTAAAGCTTAATGATGTCAAGCTTATATGTTTGCTAACCTGATCAAGCTTTTGTGTGTGGATAGTTTATATTATATTCCTGACTTCACCTCACCGTTTTTTGTTCTCTCCTCCTTGAGATTTCCCCCCACCGCTACCGGCCGAGCTTCCCCAATGTCTCTCTCTCTCTCTCTCTGAGGGATGCCCTTGCTGGTACACTACATCAAATGTAGTTGCTCTTTTCTTGCTGTCAAACCAACTACAGAAACTGGGGTTTGATGGTAGCCACCAGAATTGGGGCTTCTCTTCTTGTGTCTTTCCAGCAGTCAATTATCTAGATAAGCACCAAACTTCGTTTTGGTCTTCTTATGGTAATGTAATTCAAGATCTGATGTTCTTGATGCAAAAATACCTAAAAAATCTGCTGTTCTTGATAGAATATTTATATGTTCTGGGATCATTACATTGATTAAATTTGTTGGAGTCAAACAGGCATCGAGAAGCATGCACTTTGGTGTTCCATGTGAGATTTCATATGGTTATTCCCTTACTCAAAGTTGTATGTTTTTCTAAGATTATGGCTGTTTTTTATACGCATCTGGTGGCAATCAAATGTTGCAATGCAAGCTTTGCTTCCTTTTGGAGTGAGGAATGTGCAGCTATACCTCTTGACTTTGCTCATGGTCATTCAGCAAAGAGATCTTTTAATGTTTGTACATGTTGACAAGGTTTTCAAGAACTCTTTGGAGGTGGAAGTTCCTTATTTCTGTACTACTTCATGATTGTGACAGCAGGAAATAGCTAAAACATGATAGGCAACTGTACCTGGTGTGAGTGGCAAGGAGCTTGGCTCCCCTTAAGCAAGGTCTCAAGTTCAAGTCTTGCGAATGGAGAGACAGGTGCTGGGAGAGCTTGCGCCTCTTATGGGGTCCAACCTGGCTCAACTCCGGATTAGTCAGGGCCCAAAGTGGCCACTGGATACCGAGGGGTCTGACCGAAAAACTATACCTATCGTTCATCCAAATATTCTAGGTAATGAAGCTCTTTTGAGGTATCATGGTTTAGTTGTCAATTGTAGTGCCATCTTTTCTCATTTATCCATGGTTTTTGTTCTGATTGTGCTAGGTAGAAGTCTGCCATCAGCAGCCAAGCTGCTGTTTGACATCCTAGTAGGTGGCGTTTTTCATATTTGGTATGGGAATTTTCTTGTGGTTAAGAAAATTAAGGCTGTTCAAGTTACTGACTTCACGTCTATCATAGCCATTTTATTTTGGATCGTTTGGAGATATGTGGCATCAGTCTTTTGAACATTATATGCAACTACATAGTGAATTCAGTATAGATAAACAGTTGATTCCTGCTAATGGCTAATGCGATGCATGCATACAGTACCAATGAGATAAAAGTGTCTATAGAAAGGTTAAAAAGATTATATTCTGTGGCTGGAGAAGGACAAAGACTGAACAATTCTGATGATTTGAGAAGCTGTAGTTTAGCTGGTCAATTTCACTATTATGGTTTTTTTTTTTTTTTACTGTGGCGCTCTATTTTACTTGCACGTCCTATAAAATCGCAAACCAGAGTCAACTTATAGTGTCGATAAATTTGGACTTAAGATTTTATAAATAATCTCTAGTCTTCAACATTTCATCTGCCTTAAAATTGAATCAACCAATATCAGAAACAATTTTTATTTCGGTAGTCATCGTTGTTGTTATCCATCTAACACTGCACTTTTATGATGCTAATTAGTCTTGAGAACTTTACTACTAAGACGTGACCATTTATTGGTAATAATTTATCACTTCTTTTGTAGATATGTTGGTTTATGTTGCTGTGTCTTGCAGTTTTTCTGATTGCTTGTTGTTTTATGTTTTGCTGTTGGTTGTGCATTAATGGGGAATATCTATGTTACTTTAAACGGCAGGATTTACTTTTAACAGCCATTCAGTAAATTGGTACCTTATGCACGCCATTGCAAGGATTTTTCATTTAGCTATTTAATATGTTGTTTCCAAGACAATGTTTTCAAGTGTATAGTGAATTTTCCACTTAGTGGTGGATGATATGATGTGGACTTTGATCAACTGCTAAGGGTTGATTACTTGTAAGGTATCCAATTTCAGGATGTTCCTTGGTTGCCTTTTTAGGCGATTAGGACAATTTACAGCAAGGTCAAAATACACTGAGGTTTATGCCCGAGACAAAAGCTTTACTTCCTTAGGATTACAATTAACTGAATTCTCTAACATTTCCTCGAGGATCTATCTTCATTTATTTGTATGTTTAAACACTTTCAATTTATCTTTTGGAAGTTGGGGCCTGTTTGTGGAAGAGACTAAATAAAAGATGATACTCAAACTTCAATTGGCGTGTAGTTCTGAACTTTTTCCCCAACTGATGTTGCTCCTAGATTATGTCTTTCAATCATTTGCCTCTGCATCTTATTTTGAAGGTGGTTACATCCTATAAGAGAGCGTATTCAACCTCACTTCTGCTCTTCATTCATTCCCCTTCTCTTTATTTATGTGGGTGTTCTTGATTTTAGCTTCATTTTTGTTCAATTTATCGGATGATAAACTTGGGGTCTCTTCAGTCAAATTGCTGTACTTGATACCCATTTGCCTTCACCTTATTTGACTTTCATATAACGTTTACTGAAATAAATGGTATATCAAATTCTTGCCGTCCAAAGAACTTGTTTTCGATAATTTGTAATTTCCCTTTGCTTGTGCTTTTGTGACTGTTATTATTGTCTACCATATTTAACAGCTTAGTACCTTAAATTGGAGCTTTCTTTTCCATGGCAATGCTGATATTCTATTTTTCTTGTTGGTTGAGCAAGTTGTTGATGGAAAGAGAAACACCGAAACAGGAATTTAGCACGTTGGTGAGGCTTTCATCCTGGTATTGTAGATTTAAAATTTTGTCAGATTTTTAGATCTTCATGATCATGGTTCTCTTTTAGGTTTGTCTTGTTTATGCATTGTTGCTGGTAACTTGCAGTTTCTTTCTTCTGTTGGAACTTTGTCTTCATCTTGGATGTTCAAAGATATGTCAAGTTGTTCGTACGGGAGGCTTCAGGTCTTCATCTTAGATCTTCTTGTTTATGCCAACTGGCTTTGGTGGCTTCAGGCGGGAGATTTATAAGAGGTAAGGTTTAGAATGTCGATGTACTTAATATTTTCATGAAAGTTAAATGGAGTGGATGAATTTATGAGATGGCTTTACTAGAGTTTTAGATAAATAAATAGTTATGTTTTTTACTGCCACTGTTGTGTTAAGTTGATGAGTGAAAATGAAATTGAGTAAGATTTTAATTTGTCTTAGCTGTCGGAGTTAGGTTTTTTGCACAGGAAAAAACATTTACTTCCTGACAACAATTATGATGCAAAAAAAAAAAAAAAAGAAGAAGAAAGAAATGTTGTTTCGAGTTTGGATTCAGTACCGGTTGCTTTCCCTAGCATTCCTCAAGTCCCAACCTACCGAATAGTCCAACTTGGGCAAAGTCTCTACCCAAACTTCAAATTATATTTTTCCAAAAAATTTTTTCTTTTTCAGGTAATGCACTAGGATATCTCCCCGATGCATTATTTTGCCAAAAGGAAAAAGGTACTTGAGGATTTATTTTTCAGGTAAGGATGTCACGCACATGGGGTTTTGGTTGGTTGTTATTTCTATTGGGATTAAATACATCAACACGTTAGGCTGCCTCGAACGCAAATCTTTGCTTTTTGTTTTTTTGTGTGTGTGTGTGTGTGTGTGTGTGTTTTTTTTTTTTCTGTTATGGCATATAAGAGAACAAATTACTCTGAATAAATGAGAGCCAGAAATGAGAAATCAGAATGTCAAGAGGGCTCAGTCGGTGGCTTCTCTAAATCCACCTGAGATCTCAAAATTCGTGATTCTAAAAGAGAGAAATTTCTTTCCCTTTTTTTTTTTTTGAATTGGAGTTGAATATTCATAAATATTTTAAGACCTTTGTGAATAAGGGTTGTTCTCGTTTGATTCTTTCATATGATTTTAGATTCTAATTTTGGAAAATTATGTAACTTTACTTTTTCATGTGCCTTTTTTTTTCTTTGAACGAAAGCTTGGATTTTATAAGTGAAAAGGCTGTAATGAGTTTAGAATTTTGCGGTTTGTGAGTAAGTAGCCTTTTTCGAAATCTATAGCGACAGAAAAGAGCTGTGAAATTTGTTCTGTTGTTTGAGTTTGTTAGTAGAGTATTTTTCTGGCCGTCAACCTCCGCTACGCTGCAAGTCGGTCCAAACTTTAAAGTAAAGAGGAAGTTAGCGTCTGAGAAAGGGATCGTGAGATTAAAACAAATAACAGGAGGAGGATAGTATTAAAATTGTATTTAGTTTGACGAAGTGGAATTTTAAAGCTAGTTAAATCCTCCAACTTATTTAGAGCAGTGATCCCCTATTACTTTGGGATGTCCTATTTTTACTTAGAATCAATAACGACTGATTTGACAGCACGCCACTTACTCATCATTCACTGTCAATTTTCAGATTTAAGATTTTGTACAATGTCATCTGTTCCTGGGGACCAGAACGAGGCTAATTAAACACAGGTGATGAAGCTTTGGTCGACGTCAAGGTTGATGCGCTGCGATGCGCTGCGATGCCCTGCCCCCCAAGATCAAAAGGTTTATTATCAAAAAAATAAAAAAACCGTAGGTTCAAGTTTCATCAAATTGTGACCGTATTTCTAATTTTTTGTAAATATCGTCTCACCAAGTGTAGGGCTAGCAATAATTGGGTTTGTTTGGATAGGGTATTATTTAAAATATTATTTGGAATAATTACTGTAGCATTTTTTGTGATGTGATATATGTGAGATAAAAAGGTGGTTGAGAATATAAAAAGATAGGTTGGGAAATGTGTTTATCCTCTAGGAGTCAGGCTTGAATCTGGCGGAGGGGAGAAAAATCTTGTGGTGGTCAGAAGGAAGCATAATCACGTGGACTTTCATTTTAAAGCGAGATGTTTAGGAGGCAAATGATGTCAAGTTGTAGTCTGATACATCATAATCGTTGATCATCAAGTCATTAACGTTATCATAAATGGTATTTCATATGCTTTTTCTTTGAAGCCCTCAAAAACTGATTGTTAATTCTAAAGGCCGCAAAAAAAATTTTTTTTTTTTAATTTATTCTGAAACTAAAATATTTAACACCTCAACTGTCTCTTCATGACTACTTTAATCAATCCACAACTCCTTCGCTCTTGGCATTAGCACGAAACATATGTACATGTACTGCAGAAAATTAAAAGTGGAAGCTTCATTGTACGCTGCTACGGCAGTCGCATAACTTCTTGGGTAGTACTAACCAACAGCCACCACCATAGTCTTTTAAGGCTTGGTGTGACAGCCCCACTTCTCCCAAGGGCGAACCCAAGGGTATCGGCGGGCCGCCTGCCTAGCTCGCGCCAGGACTCAAACCTTAAAGCGATAAAAACTAGAAAATCCAAAAGAGTACCTTACATACTATATACAAATCCCAAAAAGAGTTATAATTGCATTCTCCAAAAGTATCGAGTCAAACCACCAAAACAAAAACAAACATCCTAACTGTTCAACTATTACAAGCCAATCTTACTATACTAGTATACGAGCCAAAAGTCCCCGCGTCGGCCCCTGCTAAGGAAAACAAAAGGAATGGGGTAAGCTATATGCTTAGTAAGTAAACAGGGGCGAAAGCATAAATTTCACGTAACAGTTACACAATAAGAGTAAAGCAAAAGCAGAAAAGTAACATCACATAATAAGGATACAGGTGGCTCCAAAGCCAACTCATGTGCCATGCGTGATCTCCTGCCGACACTCCGTCGACTGCAAATAATAGTCCGTAGAACTTCACTTGTACACCCACCGACACCTTTTCACCCTCACTGGCCAGTCACCTCACAAACTTGCCCGGGCGAACGAAATCACAAACTTGAGCTTGAGTCACAAGCTCGGGTCACAAACTTGGTCACCTTCTCGGTGAACCGGATTTACAAAATTGGTTCATAACATGAACCTACAAACTTGGTGACCTCAGACTAAGTTGGACTGCCTTCGACCAAGCCCTAACCGGCTCGAATAGTCCAACCAGGTCAAGAGTTCGCCCCAAACTCACAAACTTCACAAAATTATTCAAAATCACAAACTTTGCAAACTTCACAAAATTTATTCGAAAGTCGCCCCGAGCCACAAGCTCTAGGGTTTTGGTTCCAAAAGGTTCATATACATATGCCAAGTACAATTATACATTCAAATTAGGGTTTAGGTCGAGTGCGATAAAGTACACCCTCGCCTAAGTGCCCTTTTCACATATCTCAAACACATAGCAAAGAAAACACACCAAACTGGCCTGAATACTTACTCAAAATACCAAAAGTAGTACAAGATTGCTTCGCGCGTGATCGCTAGTAGTGGGCCCCACCAGCTCCGCCTAGCTCACCACTATCTGAAATACAAGATTTTATCACTTATGTCACAAACGGCTACGAACCGATCCAAAACAAGTAAAACGGCAAAATTGGCACACGTAATTTGCGGAAACGGCAAAAAGGGGCGCACGCGCGCGCGCGGAACGGCAAACGGAAACGGCCACAACTGCCATCTCAAACCGTTTTGGTCGAAAGTTAGGCTAGGGGTATCGGATCAAGGTGAGCGAGACACCGTTTCGAAGCTATGAGAAAGGGCTACATTTTTTGTGAAGACACCTTAACCTAGATTTGAATAGGTATAGGTCAAAAAGGCACGAAATAGTGCCAGCCGTTTCATGGCGGGTTACCAAACAGGCCCTGTTTACAAGGCCGTAACTCACGGCTCAAAAATCGAAATCAAGAAATTCCAGAGGCGTTAGAAAGCTGAAATATAAGTTTAAAACTTTCATGTTTTGGCCAATACTTGAATCCACTCAGAACAGAACGAAAATCGAGTGCCAAGGTACCCGTCAGAACTGTCCAGATACAAGGCAGTTCTGACGAGCGATATTGTTTTGATCATAACAGGGGCTACGGAACTCGGATTTCGGCGTACTTTATACCGTTTCGAAGCTAAGATCAAGATCTAAATTTCTTATGAAGGGATCAGCACCCAGTTCGTACGGGATCAAAACCGAAAAAATCACGGGCAGAAGCTGAAATTCAAAACGTACACAAACCAATGTCTAAAACAGGCCTGAGGGTTTTGTCTATAACTCAGAATACGCTAACTTGTTTGACCTGAAATTTTACAGGCATACTCACGACTCAAGGGGCTACATTTCCTAAGAAGGCACCAAAACCCAAATCAGAAGTAATCCCAACCAAAATAGCCAATTACTGAAGCAGTTTTCAAGTTCGGGTAAAAACAGGACAGCAAGGGTAATTCCGTCTTTTCATGAGCTACGCTACTCCGATTGGCCTGAAATTTTACAGGAACCTCAAACACATCAATATATACAACTTTAATGAAGACAATACATTCCAGTTCTCATCCTAACTAGGTCAAATTTACCAAAACAACCCCAGATTTTCCAGTTCAAAGTGTACTGCAGCAGTCCTGACTTATGCAGTCATATCTCAGCACCTACAACTCCAATTGAAGTGATTCCAAAGCCATTGGAAAGCTAAGATACAAGGCTATAAATGTTAAGAAGACGTCAACAACCAAATCAGTAGTATTCCTGGTCAAAACAACCAATTACAGAAGCAGATTATCATTCTCGGATAGAAACAGGGCAGCAGGGGTATTTCGGTCTTTTCACAGGCTACGTTGCTCCGATTGGGCTGAAATTTTACAGGCAACTAGAAAACATCATTCTCTACAACTTTCATGTTTTGTGCTAAGGCCAATTCGGCCTCTAACCTGGTCGAACAGAAACGGACAGAAAGGGGAAAAATGAAACCTTAAACTGGAATTTCCATAATACTACTTCCAACTATGAAATATACTCATAAACTACCAAAACTACAACTTTCAACCACTAATTACCAATTAATTGAAGTAAAGAAGAGGTTCTTGGTAAAATACCTTGAAAACTCAAGAAAAATGGTAGCTTAGGCTTTGTCCTCCAAAAATCCTTCCATAAACACCTTGGAAACTACTTGGAAAGCAAGTTTTATGGAGTAGTTTGCAAATTAATCGGTTAAAACTCAAAATTTGGACAAGAAATTGAAGTGGAAGATGAAGGGATTTTCTCTCTTTTCTCTCTCTCTAATTCAGCCAAGGAAGACAAGAAAATGAATGAATTTTGGTCAATTTTTGATTTATTGGTAAAGTTGGTCCAAAGGTCAAAGTCCAACCCAATCACAAAGTGACACTTGTCACTATAATTATTTCATGCCTAACTTTTTGTCTCTCTCACACTAATCCATTTGATACCAATAAATATCTCATCACACCCGGTAATTTAAACCCGGTATTCAAAACTTAACCTAGTTGGCCGAATTTTTCCGAACTTTTCGCACTAGTGGGTCCCACGTCCGACATACGTTCTTAATGTCTCAAAAACTAACCGATACTAGAAAAATCATCTAAAACGTATATTCACTCAATAAAATTATCTGGGGAATTTTCTAATAAAGAAAATGTGGAAAAGACGGGCGATAAACAAAACTCCATTTAAGCTTTCTAATATTGTAACACTAGAGGTTTGCTAATCCAGAGTTTACTAACCATTTTCAAACTTGTTAAACCTCTGTAAACTATAACGAATCCTATTTTTTTCTTGTGCCAAAACACACACTAGAATACCGCATAAACTAGGGTTTTATCGTAAGCAAAGTTAGGGTGTTCAATCTTGGCCGAGATTAGGGTTTCTCCTTAGCCCTAAAACCTTAATTTAACCGTACAAATAATGAATAACCCTAATCTCAACGTACGAACGGACTAGGTCCTCACACTTGGTGGTCTTACCACTCTACGTGGCTTGCTACTTGAAGTAGCCTAAATTCATACGAAGTGTGTGTAGTATACTCGTCTGATTTGATGAAGGTTCAATTTTCATCGGTTTCTTAATAGGTCCAATTAGATCCTCCTTCTTAGAATAAGCTAAAGTAGAAGTAAAGTAGACAAGTCACGATTGACCGGTAAAAAAAAAAAAAAAAAAAAATCATGGTACTACTACTACTGCTACTAATTTATGGTGCAAGGCTGCAAGCAGCCTGTTGAGTGCGAGGCGCTTAAAACTTGCTACTTCCACTTCAATGACCAACTTTTTCCTACAAAGAAGCTTGCAATAAATGTACAAACGGCTCGTCCTTGTTTCTTGACAATTTTGAATCAAGGCTGGAATTAACGAAAAGGATTTTGAAGACAATAAAAAGAAATTGGGAAACCTTATCAGGAGTTATATCCCATCTGTTTTCTGTGTGTGAGGAAAAGGGATTAAATAAGATAATTGAAGAGTATATTTTTAAAAATAAAAAAATAAAAAAGTGGGAGAGTTATTGAAAACTTAAATAAGTTCTGGTTATATCTCTATGAAGAGAAAATAATGAAAAGAAAAAGAACTCGGACTTAGTATTTTAGAAATGCATTTTTTTGAGTTTTAAGTATGAGCGTGAGACTTGTCTTATTAGATTTCTTTATCTTTTGGGAGTGATGCCTTCTTCTTGCGATGGGAGCACTCTTGTCAAATCATCAATCCTGAATTGGTCTAGCAAGCCATTTGGATATTTTGAGGAGCAATTTCTTAGAAAATTAATTCAGTGCTACTTACGAAGACAATTCAATCCTAGCAACAAAGGTGAAAATGTTCATTGAAGCTCATTTAATGCTCCTAAGATGTGCATGGGATTTTGAATTTTGATGTAGTCGTTAGCATTTGAAATGTCCCGTTTCGGCCGTCAAACATGTATGAAACTTTAAGTACAAACTTCACCTTGCATCTCTAAACTTGTATCCAATTTTCA